AGCGTAAATTTTGTCCAATAAAAGAAAAAACGATTTTTTTGGCCTCTGAAGGTGGGAAGTAACCTTAACTTTTACAGCAAGTTTAAAACTTTCTTATACTCTAAATCATGTAATAAAGCGTGCTAACGACTTAAAAACAGTTTCAAACTGACTCGTTTTGCTTTCGAGGTGCGTCAGAAATTTGAAGCCTTTCCGAGTCCGCGTGAAATCGTTTCCGAACCCGTCAGGCACACAGTAGAGATATAATAAATATTTTACTAACCTCGTCTTCTCGGTCCGTACTGTAAGTTACGGTTCCTCGTTTTTCCCCTTCGATTTATGACCCGGGCGCTTCGCGCTTGGGCCATAAATCGAAAGGGAAAAAACTCGGTTCGTAACTTACAGTACGGACCTCGAACTCGGTTAGTAAGAGGTATGTATAGAACAGTTTAACCCAGGAAATTAAAGAATCGCCAAAATTGTAGAAGGAAAGGGTTTTCTCCAAAAAGGTCCATTTTAAAGAATCAAAAGCTTTCTCAAAATCAACAAACAGTAAAAAACCAGAAATATTCTTGAGTTCTGTGTAGCTTATTACATTATTTGGCAAACGAACATTTTCACTGATTGACCTAAACTTAAGGAAACCTGTTTGATCGTTATTGATTATATCTGGTAAAAGACCTTTTATCCTTGTCGCTATAGCTTTAGCTGCAATTTTGGTCTCCAGTTTTTTTAAAAACTGTGGGGGTTTGGTCTCTTAGGTATCAAGGTTATTAGTCCTCTTCGCCGAGAAATCGAAGGATGCCCTTTGGAGATAGATAAATTTAAGGACGCAAGCAGAAAAGGGGAGACGTCATTCCAAAAAAATTTTGAAAAATTCTGCAGGCACGGCGTCCGTCCCGGGAGACTTACCCGTTTCCATTGTTTTAAGACTCTCAAAACATTCAGCTGGTGACAGGGGACCTTCACAGGACAATTTCTGGTTGTAACTTAGCTTGAGGTTATTATCGTCTGGAAAGAAAAGGTTTTGATACTCGCTATGGAGATTTTGCTCTGCTCTGGAAGAATACAAAGATTCTTAAAACGTCTTAGCTTCCTGTAAGATTTCTTGGTCTGTTGAGACCCTTGAGTTATCGCCAGTTTTAAGATTTCTTATGGTTTTACTATTGAAATGTCGCTTTTCTGAGACTATGAAAATATGATGTGTTCCTTTCACCTTCATTACACCACTCCACTTTTGATCTCAGAATGGCTCCTTGCTTTTTGTAACCAATTACTTCCTCTAATTGTTGTCTTTTTATTGCTAGTTCCGATTCCAAGGTTTTCCGATCTTCCTCAGGGAAATTTCCTTTCAAGTATCAAAATATCTTCCTGTAGGAAGTGTTCCTTTTTATTAAGACTCAATTTTTTGGCAGCAGCGCATTTAACTGAAGCTGCTCTGATTTGCATTTTGATTACGTCCCACTTTAAAACCTCATCTACTTCGCAATGGCCATCATATTCCGTTGACACATCTGCTATGGCCTTCTTCATTAAATTGACATAGTCCGTTTCAGTTTAAAAATGCGTGTTTAGTTTCCAAAAACCGGGTCCTCTGCTGCAGCGCTAATACGAACAGTAATCATTGAATGGTCTTTTCGGTAACCGGGTAAGATTTCTGCTTCTAGAACTTTGGGGCAGAGAGTATCACTAGCTAGGAAAAAAATCCAAACCGCATTGAATTTCTGTTTTTTTTTTCCCCTTCTCCAAGTATATATAACGCCTAGCATCTGGGTTCAGAACTCTCCAATGTCCGTTAGTTCAAATTTTTTCTCGATATCAGCAATAGTAAATCTTCCTTCYAGATCAATGAAGGATCTTAGAATATTGACCTGGAAATTTTTGTTGAAAAGAATACCAACACCAGCTCTGGAGCTGGAAAAGTTAGTACAAATAGCCGAATATCCCCACTCAAAACGCCAATAAGCTTCAGTATCACTTGAGCAATGTATTTCCCGCAGAAAATATATAGGAAATTTCTTTTTCATTCATATAATTGTATTCTTTGCAATATAGAACGCGAATCACGCACCATAACCAAAGCACTCTAGTAATGGTCTCGAAATAGTACGAACTTAGGTATACATTTGAGTGGATTCACTCAATAAAACCTTTTCAATTATAATTACATGTGTCCTGATATTTACAACGAGCATGATTGGGACTAAACCCGGCTGCGAACATTATGCTGTGTGCCCGGGTGTGCGTGGTTGTTACAACGATCGAAGGTACCCAGAAAAACAAAAAAGTTCTTCCTCACGTTGGTTTATGGAGATTCTACTTGCCAAAAAACAAACAAGACGCTTTGCCATGGCCCAGATCTATAAATCGTGATAAATTCAAGGTCACAATGAGTACTAAGGTCTGCTCTAATCGTTTTGTACAGACCAACGCGATTCCTGTTGCGAGTACATTGTGTTTCTGCATAAAAGCATTCATAGTTTTTCTTCAACAAGCATGTCTTTAACCAATTTCCCTTTTCTGTAAGAGATCAAGGGAGGCTCCATGAATATCTCTCTGAGCGTTGGCTGATTTTGCTTTAAATACCATTTGTCCGTAGGTATGTTCTTCAGACCTTTTAATGCTGGGTGGAATTGCGTTACAAAGGGCTTTCTGTTTCTGTCTCACGTCCCTGAAAAACCTGTGGATGTTGCTCATTAAAAGTGCTAGACAACCTTCGGATTCCCCCTTGTTTTCTATCACTGGTTTCACTCTTAGCTTCCACAGCGCAATTATTCGGCAGGGTAGAAACAATTATTCCCATCCCCTGGCACAACAATAGCTCTCCTTTGTGGGGGTAAAATTCCAGCATCCATGATGAGATAACAATCAATCAATCAATCAATCAATCAATCCTTTACGTGAACACGTAACTAAAAAGAAAATAATCTCGACACACGTAATTACAGCTGAAAAGGCTTTATTGAGTGAATCCCCTCAAATTTATAACTAAGTTTGTACTATTTCGAGACCATTACTTGATGTGGATTCGGTAGATTTCACAATCAACTTGACGCAACAGAGTGTTTATCAATAGATTTTATCGTATTAATTACACAAAATCTTACAATTTCCACTCGCCAACACGTCACCTCCGCTCCACACAAAAACACTGCGAAAATGCGTTATTCCTTGTTCAAAATCATCGCTTTTGATAAAGAAACGTCGTTACGCCATACATTTCTTTCTAGCGAGTTGTAATGTTTGCCCCCTGGCGATCCCATAATCCGTCGCGTATAACATAGGTCTCCGATTACTGGCAACTCATTCATTTACTAAACCAGAACAATATGCTTCCAGTTTTTCCAGCAGTCAGCCAGAGCAGTGCCACTGTGAGTAGTTCTCCTTCCACCAGCGCTACAGCTTTTACAAGTGTCTCTTCAAGTACCTCAACGTCTTATAGCACAAGCAGTTCAGTTTCTACAAACGTTTCAGCAGCTATTTCGACGGCTCCGAGAACCAGCTCGTCATTTTCCACTAGTGTGTCAGCAAGTATTTCAACGTCCTTCTTCAATACGAACCCTTCGGTTTCCACAACTGTTTCTTCACGTGTCACTTCATCTCCTCTTGAAGCAATTTCAACATGTGTATGCCCAAATATCTCGTTTTCCTTCACTACCGGGACGAGTTCCTCTGAAAATGTTATAACATCCCTTACAACGAGTACTTCAGATTCCCCAACGCGTAATTCAGATTCCTCCACGTTTCTTAGCACAAGCGCTTCAGTGTTCTCAACTGTCTCCCAAAGTGTCTCGACATCTTCTATTGGTAACGTGGCTCTTGCATCGTGTGTATGTCCCAATACTTCACTACCCGTTACCACCAGCATAATGTATCCTGCAAGTGTCTTAGCGTCTCTGAGCGGAAGTACTTCCGTACCTTCAAGTGTGTCCTCAAGTTACTCATCGTCTCTCGGTGCTGGTGGTTTGGCTGCCACAGCTGGTTCTCCAAGTCTATCGACGTTTCCTATTACAAGTGCGTTACCTTCAACTTGTGTATGTCCTAATATCTCGTTGTTCTCCAGTGGTAGCAGCAGCAGCAGAAGCGGCAGCATAAGTGCCTATGCAAGTGCCTCAACGTCGCTTAGCGCGATTACCTCTGTCTCTCAAAGTGTGTCTCCAATTCACTCGACGTCCTTCAGGACAAGCGCTACAATTTCAGCAACAGCTGGTTCTCCAGGTGCCGCGACATCTACTACCAGCGCACCACGTTTCACCTGTTTATGTCCCAGTATCTCGTTGTCGCTCAGTAGCAGCACAGCAAGTTCTTCAGTTTCCCTCAGTGTGTCTCCAAGTGGCGTAACGTCTCCCAGTTACAGAAATGCTTCGCGAAGTGTTTTGGAATTTTCTCTTACCAGTGAGCCACGTTCCACATGCTTATGTCCCAGTAACTCGTTGTCCCTTAGCAGCAGAACAAGTCTCCTTACAAGTGCTTCAACGTCCATTAGAGTCACAGCTACTGTCTTCCCAAGTACGTCCGCAGGTGACTCAACATCGCTAAGTGAAAGCGCTTCAGTTTTCGGAACAGCGTCTTCGAACGACTCGTCATCTTCAACTCGAAATGCTCTATTTTCAACCTATGTGGTTCCCAGTGTCTCGTTGCCTGTCAGCAGCACAAGTGCCTCTGCAAGTGCCTCAGCATCCTTAAAAACAAGTATTTCGGAAACCCCGAGCCTGTGGTCAAGTGACTTAACTGATCTCAGTAACAGCGTCTTAGCTTCTCCAAATGTCCCGAAATCCCCTATTAGCAGTACCCTACTTTCAACATGCGTATGTCCCAGCACAAGCAGTTCAGTTACTACAAGTATGTCTCCCAGTTTGTCGACATCTCTCAGCAGAGAACGTTCACGGTCTTCAAGTATGTCTTCCATTCTGTCGACGTCTCTAAGCAGATACAGTTCAGTGTCTAAAGGTATATCTTCAAGTTTGACAACATCTCAAAGCAAAGAAACTTCAGTTTCTGCAAGTACCTCTTCAAGTCTCTCGACATCTCTCACCAGAAGTATTTCCCTTTCAGCAAATGTCTCTCCCAGTCTGTCAACGTCCTTAACAACAATCATTTCAGTTCCTAAAAGCATCTCTCAAAGTCTATCAACGTCCCTCAGCGCAGGCATTTCAGTTTCTAAAAGTACCTCTCAAGGTTTCTCGACGTACTTCAGCAGAAGCATTACAGTTTCTACAAGTATCTCTCAAAGATTGTCGACATCTTTCAGCAGAAGCAATTCAGTTTCTACAAGTATCTCTCCAAGTCTGTCGATGTCGCTTAGCTCAAGTAATTCTGTGTCTGAAAGTGTCTCTGCAAATGTGTTTACGTCCTTCAGCAGAAGCAATTCAGTTTCTACAAGTACCCCTCCAAGTCTTTCGATGTCCCTCAGCAAAAGTAATTCTGTTTCTGAAAGTATCTCTCTAACTGTGTCTAC